CCTTCAGCTGTCCGAGTCTGTCGCCTGCTTTTCTCTGACATGTCCTTCACGTTCATCCTTCTATATATAAGTAGTTAAATATTTCTGGATAAGAACCGTTCGAGTGTTGACATATTATGCAGTGTTGGCGTAGTCGAGGATGCACTAGGAATAGAGACGATTCAAGAGGTTTTTTGGGATGCATGTTCTCCGAGATGGGAGCCGCACCCTGATGGGTTGGGTAAATGACCGTCACGGTATACGGTACCTACGGAGCATTTTCGACGGGCTATTATCTGCTTCTTAGTGAGGCCCACGTAAAAACACCACAGTACGTGGCTGGTCTTTCAGTCAACTATGATAGTTGTGTAAGATGTCCGAGTCTCAAAGCAGAGGCCGCAACGTGGCGACAGGGTAGTGTGGCGGAAGGCGTGATGTTTGGTCACATCAATCATTCTCACAGACAGGCGCCGATGTAAGCGCCACAAAAACTCGACGCGCAAATTCGGATAGCTATGCAAACGGCAGTAACCTTCCCATTCCATCATTAACTTCCCTGCGCTCCCCTTGTCGCCTACCTCCGGTACGAACCCCGCGCCGTCATATGGATCGCGGTCTTTCTTTTCCACACTCGACCCTTCACCGGGAAACCCTCGCCACCGCCACTCCCACTTGAGGCCGACATCCATCCCATACTCCGTTGTTCGCCCTCGCGAAGCGCTCCACGGACCTACTTCGATAATCTACCCACTCGTTATCACACACGAAAATCCATCAAAACCACCCACACTTTCCCTTCACCCTCCCACCCACCCCTTTCCATTACTTCCTCGATTTCACCGTCGCTGTTCATGCCCCTGCATCACCTGGCACTGTCACCTCGCACCACCCACCAAGCCGTTTCTGTACGACGATCCTATTCGCCCGCCCACCCAACCTTCTGCTGCTTCGGTCTAAAGGGGAGATAAACGGGTAGAGACTCGTGGTCCCAAGAGGCGCGAGGAAGCAGGGAGCGACGCCCGAGCCGACGCGTACAGAGAACTCAGGAGCGAGTCTCTCGGAGGGAAAGGACCGAGGGAGTTCTCGGAGGGACCCAGGGACGTGCGGAGTCAAAGCAGATGCAGACTCACGCACGGACGTCGGTCGTCTCGTACCCGTCGCGGACTCGCTCGATCTTTCGTTTACGCTCGATTCTTTTTTTTTTCTGTGTTATTCTTCCATCATCATCACCCATGACACAACCCCTCCACTCTCTCGACCCTCGACCCACGATCTCGAATCCACATCATCACCTCCTACCACCCCCTCACAGCATTCCTTGCCAACATCTCCCTGCCAACATCGTCCCTCACCTCGCATTTGACGTCTCGCCGTCATCCCCTTCGATCCAATCGCCCCTTTGCGTCCTCATCCGTGCGCCACGAGGACGTGTCGCCTACAAGGGGTAGAGGCCCGTATCCCGTGGAGGCCGTGTGGAGCAAGAGACAAGCGACGAATGGGCTCCAAGGGGAGTTCCTCTCGACTGTTCGGACGGAAGGAGAGAAGGAATACTCGTCGGGATTGAGGAATGTGCGGCGTCGCAGCGTATGCGGAGCTTTGTCTGTTCAACACCAGTTTTGGGCGGGTCCCTTTTCCGCCCGGATCCTTGCTCTCCTTTCCGTAGACTTGCCCGTTACATACCAGGCGCTTTTAGTCGATTGCAAATTCCCTGCCTACATATCCGAATATTCAAATCTTTGCTTCTGGTCTGCAGGGCAAAGCACACGCTCCCGTTCGGCCAACCACATTGGAAGGAAGGAAGTAACCATCCATCGCGGATCATGGCTTTATTAGACTCCGCATAATCATTAGATGCGGCCCCTATATAAAGTCTCGAGACTTGTCTTTGCACGACTCCGAACGTTATCAGCCGTTGGTGTCACTTGCCATTCATGCAACGCATAGGACCATGGACACACTCTTCTGCTCTGTCTATCCAACTTGTCAACACCGTCGACTCAGAGATTCCCCCTACCGATTTCATCTGGTCTGATGACCTGGTTTTCCCTGGCGATGTACAGCGGCCTGTCGATGAGGGCGGATGCTCATGCTTTCCGGTATGCGACCCAGAGATAGCTCCCTGCGCCTGCACGAAGCGAGCGTTGCTGTTTTCGGCCTTTCGGAATAACCCTGATCAATTCGTTTACGAGCGAACCAAGCAGCAAGATGGGACAGGGCGTTCGTTGATACGACTTTCCCGGGATGCCCATGGTCCAATCGTCGAGTGTAACGCGTCCTGTTCCTGCAACATAACCTGTGTGAACCGGGTAAGCCCGTCAAGCCTTTATATCCTTGAATCGCTAAGCATTCCACCGGGAACGTCAAACCGTAAACGTTACTTTAGACCGTCCAGAACCCGTCACAGGCGGTCCTTCGTCTACAAAAGACGATCCAGAAAGGCTGGGGTCAGTCCTTGTCTTTCCTTTCCTCGGTCCTCTCGATTTGAGCGCATCTATGGGGCAGGTGTGTTTGCTGCTCAAGACATATTGGCAAACACCTATATATCGATGATGACGGGTGAGATGGTGCGCACCGCCGAGATTCGCAACCGTGATTCCAGGTCAGGCAGATTCATGCTCGATACATTATCATCGCTTGATAAATCTTATAACAGCGAGAAGACGAGCGCTCGCTGCTATCTCATAGACCTAGAGTTTTGGAATCTTGCGGGCTACATGCAAAAGCGGAATCCCAACAAGTATAATGATAATTGGAAACCTACCTGGTCGGTTGACTGCTCACGCATCGGTAATGTAAGTGCGTCTATTGTGATTTTTGTGGTCCCATCGGTTGAATATTGCTCTAGGTCAGCAGGTTTTTTGTCAGTCCGTCGTAGTGATGTATGCCATGTACACCTCTAACCGGGCTTCACAGAACCATTCTTGCGACCCAAATCTAACCGTGCTGGGGTACTACTCTAGTCAATCCGATCGCGAGCTACCCACCGCCGTGTTCTTCACGTCCCGGGATGTTAAACAAGACGAAGAGCTGTGCATGAGCTATTTTGGCGACAAAGTTTTCAGGCGGAAAGCATCACAAGTGCGACATTTCGAATTCGCCATAGTTTTTTGTTTCGATTTTGACACCTTGCCTATTCACATCACAACTGACAGAAGCAATCGGAGCCTCGGGAAGATCAGTTCTTTTGCGCATGTGGTGCACCGAAATGTTGCCGTCCCATCATATGTTGACTTCCCTCGGGATCTGCATGTTATTCGCCCTCTGGGCTACTCCTGATCACTCTTGCGAGTACTAGTGTAAATTGATACACGACTTCCCACGCCGTCTGTAGTACTACCAAGCCTAAGTATTGACTGCGTCAAAGGTTCAGGCACAAATCATCCAAAAGACGATAGGCACACAAATTTCGGATATCTGAATCATAAACTACGAAGCAGCAGTGGAAATTGAGGGCGGTATCGTTGGAAGGTCCGAGGCATGATGGGATGAGCTGTCTGCCTCCAAGGTGACGAATGTGGACGGGATGGAGGGTGAACAGTCGCGGTATGTCTTCTGGAGGCGGATCAAAACAATAATGGTCGTTGGGTAGATGCCCTATCACAACGAGGGGATGTGAGACAGGCATATATCACAGTAGTCATAACGCTATGGCACAAATCAAATCACTACTCACCGCAATCAAAACCATGCTGAGGTGCAAGGATGCCAAAAACGTTAAAAGACCACTGTGCTCGACTTCGTCTCTTAGCTGAGGGTACATATTACTAGTATTCGCTCTCTCCAGAGATGCCAGAGTCAGGCCACGCGGTCCCATGACTGAAAAAAAGGCAATAACGTATGTTGTCTTAATAGCAGCAGCAGTCAGTGAAAACGTACTTGAGTTTGATAGAGGTAGCAATGGATGGAGGGGTAGCCTTACCCATATCGCGCAGTACAAAGCCCCCGACTCCACAAGCAGCAGCATCACACCTTGGATCAGCGTCGTGGTCCTTGTCTTCCAGCGTTTTTCAGTTGAATATATCAACTTTCGATGGGACCTACACATTATAATAGGGATGGACGGCCTTATGCGTCAATACCTTACCGAGAAAATGCGGAAGGATCTAACTCACCAGGCTTTCAATGCGATCATTGCCGTGGCCCATATGTTGGTGAATAGGGTCATTCCGAAGGCGACCTCTGCTAAATATCCTGCGGGTGTGGCATCCATCCAGTAATGCAGAGCGTCGGGCCACACATCCGCAGCAGATATCGACGCGACAATGAGGGATATTAGTACCACTAGTCATGCGTGATGAGGTCAGTATCAGCCATTTCCTCACCCACATCAAAGAGCAAGGCTGTTTCACCGACCTATCGTAGTCATACCGACGACAACGATTCCGATCCTGACTCGACGAGCAGAAAGTGACCAAACCCTCCACACCACAACAAAATCATGCACTAAGTACTTCGATAATGAGATTGTGAAAAACGTTAATTGACAAGTTATTCGGAACTTTACGATGTAGGAGGGGAGGGAAATAGACTGACGTTTGCTAGCGGCAAGTATTGTCTAACAACGTTGATCCTGGTTGTAATAGAGGTACCCAGGCTGTCTGCTCGGCCCGAGGCTGTCTCCAGCATGCCTTGGTAGATGGCAAAAGTCAAGGCCCACCAGCTTGTAGCTACTGAGAACATGAAGATGTGGATGAAAAGGAAGACTTTGGGCGTTCTCGAGTTCGCTGATTGATGTCTGTGATAGACCGTGAACATGAACGAGGGAGATAAGGGAATCTGACCAGAGTGGGGCAGGCTAAAACCCGAACTCACATCAAGATCCCAGTACACGGCAGAGCCAGACCAATGTATGCTCCTGTTACACGGCTGAGCTCAGTCGATAATCGGGTACTAAGCGAGGAGTTCTGCATACCATAGAGCAGTGTAGATACGATAAATGGTGTAGAAGAGACGCCACCGGATGAGTCGTCAGTGTAGTTCATGATGCGTACCGTCGAGGAGCTTATTGTAATCGCAATATACTGCGACAGTCTTACAGTTGAGCAGAGAGCAAGGCTGCTGTGAGCTCGTCGCCGTTGGCGCTTACCCGTCGTTCAGGGTCCACCATGACCTTGCCGATAACTTAAACGGTTTGCTTAGGCATGTGGCGCCAAGTTGGACGTGGCACCTCCGTCGGGGTCCGCACGCTAAGTCACGTGGATATATCCACAGCGAACGCGGCACTTCGGCAAAATCCCGTGCTGCATTGTTCGTTGACGCGTCGCTCGCACTCTGTTTCTTTCGCTCTTTCCGAGCGTGACATGTCTTCACTCACTGCTCTAAACGGCTGCGCGACCTATCTGCAAATACCTGCGCCTGCAACGAAGTTTTTGCGGTGCAAGCGTTGCAATCTCTCTCGATATTGTAACCGATCCTGTCAAGTGCTTGACTGGCCTTTCCACAAGTAAGGCCACATCTGTTGTGATTGTTCTGCTTATTTGAACGTCCACTCGCTCCTACATGTGACAACTGGCACGCGTATGTCCTGCAGAAAATATGCAATATGTGTATAGCGTGCGAGGCAGAACATATATTCAACGAGACCGCAGTAGAAAATGCGGGACATAAGATGTAAAGGCGATTCTCTGTATGACTGTGATCATGGGCCCATAGAAAGTGCTGCGGTAATATCCAATCTACGTGAGAGTTATAGAAGATTTGGTGTTGGTGTTGGAGATATGCACGAGAGGTCAACAAAGTCTGTGACGGCTGAGAGAAATGAGCGTGTCGAGAAAATATGCTTCAGTTCTCCCTAGTATTTGCGTGTCTGCGTTACCTTGTGTTCGTGTTTTGCTGTCGCCCCACAACAGGAGCCAGTGTGGACCAACGGTCGAAGGCCGAGGAACAGGTTGTGTTGATATTCAAATTCCTGACACGATCTCGTGAGCAGGTCACTGCCGTCTAAAGCGACACGCAGAAAAGAGGAGAACTGAGAGCATGAATCAATATCTGAGAGGAAGGGTTCGTCTCTTCACAGTTTCCTGAGATGTAGATGCACACCGCCGTTTGCCTCAGCAGCTCCTCGAGGCCTCCGGGCGCAGCCAAGAGTGATGGCAGGTACTTATTGCAGCAATGAATAGAGCCATGGAGGCCTGAGGGTAAGTAAGCTCATCTCTAGAGTCTGGCGTAAGAAATACATCGACAGTATGTTCGACAGGCCTACAAACAACGAAGAACAACGGGAAGATTATGAAGCTAACAATGTCACTTGATATCAATAACTACCATATAGAACTTACCCCCCAGAAAAATAGAGCCTCACGGTATAACATCGCTAGTCTCCTACAGGCGGATCTCCAGGATAGACAGACGTTCTCTGAAAACATCGCCAGTGATGTCTACTTATTCCGGCAAAGCGGGCTGGGCGCGAAGAACTAGCAAGCAGAGTCATCGGCAAGAGCAACGTAGCATCAGAAACGGACGAGCGCAATATAAGTAGCCCACTGAGACGATGGGAGAACATGGTTCGCTTCGGAACAGCTATAGCGTTAAGGGAGGTCGAGATGAAGAGGGACTTGCCGCGATGCTGACGGCAAGCCAAGTGTATGGCCAAGGCGCTGGTGCCTGACGGAAAGGGAAGTGCGTACTATTCATACTCCGCGCGGCCTACCTCATCTCACCCGGCCCGTGAAGCCGTAGCTCTTGCTGAGTTTTTTCCACGGAACTTGTACTTAATTCCCGCTACTAAGTACTGTAGTGGGTCTTAGGTACCTCTGAAATCTGCTTCCGTTTCGCAGGCGATCGACTATTCTGTTTTTTCTTACCTAATGTCAGACTTCGCCCTTCGTGGTACTCGATTCTCACACTTGTTCGGTGAAACCCATGTCTCGAGCTCTTGTCCATGGCCATGTCGCTTTCGACGACGTTCGCACCGACCGTATAGTTGCTTTCTTCGCTGCTACATCTCAGTCGTGCTCCACTTGTCTATCTGCTCTCTTTCTGACGTACCGGACGTACCCCATCTGCCCCCCTAAAGGTTCGGGTCTGCACTCATATCTGGAAGTTTTTGTGTATTGCCTCAATCAATCTCGTGCGGTGTCCTCTTGCCTGACCAGTGCTATTTAAGCACTCAATTCTTTCACCCATTCTACCGTCGGTCTCTCGTGTTGACTGCGCCACTTCCTTTCCCGATTTCGAAAACGATGTGTATGCCGTGAATGATACACTTTATCTCAGTGTCCTTGCACCATGTTGGGGGGCCGCCGAACCTATTCCTTTTCCCGTGAACGCCAACTAACGCGGGCGTACCTCCTGAGTATGTACCCGGTTTGAATCTATGTGACAATACTATACTTTATATAACACAATGAGGGAATGTTGTGTGGTTTGAGAGGCCGCACATGCTAGAACAAGTCAGAATGGCGAGTTCGTTCGAGCTTGGTGCGAAGGCGTAGGCGACGGTAGCGGGCGATGCCACTCAGTGGCCCTACTTGGTCTTATTATATATAACTGCTCGCTCGCTCGATGGACTCACTACTATGGATGGCCCAGTAGTTCGACAAAACTTCGAGCTCTCGTCCTGTTCCTTGTCTCGCACCCTAGAACCACAAATACTTGCATATGTATACTTTGATATCTTCTGAGTGTCTGTGTAATCTGTAAAATTTTCGAGAGAGTGGATACTCTGACGAGTTCGACAGGGCCCACTCAAACTGGCTGATTGAGGCTGATTGTCACTCGTTGGCACCTTCCGCCACCCGGCTTCTTCAAACTCCGTCCACGCCCTTGGGCCCTGAGCCACATGCGGAGATTAAACTCTGCCCTGCCGCCTCTGTAACGCTTTTCACTCTCTCGCCTTTAAGTATCAACCAACTCACAGATCGGGCTCATAAAAAGTACCCAGATGAGGTTTCTCTCGTCTGTGTCATTAAGTACTCTCCTCAGCTTGTTTTCCTCACAGTCTCGTGTTCGCGGCTCCACTCTTGGTCGCGTACAATCGTGATCCGGACGACGCTCATTCGGCGTTCCCAGTGCGTGTATCGTTTTCTCTACCCTTACCTTCATCTTAATCCTATGTCCTAAGTCGGATTGACGTTGCCTCATGCCTTGTTCACATTCTTATGCCTTTTATATCGTTGCTGCCATGGTATATACAAGGAGTCTAGTATTCAACTACACTGTGGGGGGTTGACGATGGTCTTCTCTTCCCGATGCATTAAGGGACTGACCAGATCCGGTAAGCCCACATCTCTTCTATCCTTACCGCTCTAGTCACTCACTTCCAGATCACTCTGCTCGAATACCCTCCCTGGAAGCTAATCATCAAATTCGTTACCAACGCAGTCTACATTACATGCTTTTTCCGAGTTGACTTGCTCGGCTCACCGTCGACCATCACCACCACATCCTTCAACCCCTCAGCCAACGTCTCGCATTCCCAATCAGTCGTCGTATCTATCTTCCAACCCCGTATCTTCAGGACCCGCAATGGACTTCCTCTCTGCTTCATCCTCCCTAAGTAGCTCGTCCAATCCTTGACAGTGTATGGAAGCGTGATAACTTCAAAAAACTTTACCATCCCAACGTTCTCCCATAAATTGTCCATCCCCCCTAACCTCCTCTTGAGCACCACCGGAACTCGCACCCAAGAATTCCCGTTCCCGCTAACGACGACGCGCTCTACGCCCCTCAACGCTTCCAAAACTCCGTCTATAACGTCATCGTCCGGCTCGCAGACGTCGAGAGAGTTTGCGCCACCGTGAAGCACAAGGTCCCGCACAGACGGAAGCGGCCCCACTCCCCCCAGCAAGTCCGAGAGTGTCTGGAATGGGGCGCCACGCCGTGCAATGAGCTTCAGACTGAATGTCGAGAGTGATGCGCGGTCGACCACTCTGACCGTGCTCTCAACTTTCGACAGCCAACGTAACACAACCTTCGTCGGCAGTCCTGCGCAGTCCTTCACTATCCTCCTCAACCCGCAACGCGATGGTATTCCCTGCCTTCCCACCTTCAGTCTGAATCGCCAATGCTCCACAGCGGGTAGGAGGAATCGACAGAGAAGAAGGTCGAGGTCTTCTATCTTTCCGAGGAATGAGAATTGTGTAAGGGAGGCCAACGTCGGCGATGGACGCTTAACGTCGTCTGACTCGATGTCGAAACTGCCACCGAGGGTGAGACTGGTGAGTGCCGGAAGAATTGGCAGAAGAGCTTGGAGTTCTGTGAGCGAAATCGTGAACGAGGAGTTCTCGCAGTCCAAGCGAAGGAAGCGAATATTAACGTTGGAAGCGAGGGTAGGGATAGGGTAGAATATGCCTGTGAACTCCAGGTATGAGAGGGCTGGAGGGTGGACGAACGTGACTGGAAGTTGTGGAAGAGATGCCAAACGCCCGCTGCTGACGCCTTCTCGACGGACACGGAAGTGACGAAGGATGGGGAAATGGGTCTCCTTCATCATCCTTGCAACCATATGTGAGCTGTCGCATTCCCGGTCTGATGCTACGAACAACGTCAAACGCTCAATGACGCCCCGATGCCTCTCGACCCACGTCCTGCCATACACCTTGCGTTGAGATATATCCGCTTGCACCCACAAATTCATCCCCTTTGCCCGCTCGACCTGCTTGTCCACGAATTCTGGTCCACTTGCAGTGTCGACCCTTCTCCACAGTTTAGGGGATCCATCGATCACCCGTTTCCAGCTCGAACGGACTAGTCGCAAGTCATACCACTCCTGCATGTCCACCAACTCCTCCTGGGTCAGTAACAATATCTCACTCACGAGCTCTAGCGGTATCTGCTCCATGGCTCTTGATGGTCGGTCAGCACGCAGCCAGGCGTCTGTTTGCCTAGGAAAAATACACACCGTAAACTAGGTGGCCCGGTCCAGAGCTAGCGAGTTGTCTTCACGACCAGATCACTCCTATTCTTGGCTGAGAGCGAGCCTCTCTGTTTTCGACAGAGTAACGGGGGAGAGAGAGAGAGAGAGAGAGAGAGAGAGAGAGAGAGAGAGAGAGAGAGAGAGAGAGAGAGAGAGAGAGAGAGAGAGAGAGAGAGAGAGAGAGAGAGAGA